GGAGGCTTCTCTCGTGTCCCCGCATGGGGAGCTGGAGCTGATAGAGGGAGCTCATCCGTGCTCTCCCCAGATTTGAACCTGCGACCTGTCGGTCTTCAGTCCTGCCAGCACAGGGGTTTAACCCGCTGCGCCACCGGGGGCTCCTATATATAATACTGATATTGTACTATGCTATTATTATAATATATTGTATGTATATATATCTTGTAAGCCGCTCTGAGTCCCCTTCGGGGTGAGAAGGGTGGCATATAAATGTTGTAAATAAATAAATGTTGTTCCTTTATCATATTTATGGGCCACCTAAGGCGCAGTGGATTGAACCACTGAGCTGCTGTGTTATGGCTGATAGGAGAGATAATACCAAGAGCAATCCTTTCTGGGAGGCAAAAAAATACATTTTTATTTTCAGCTGAGACTCTGGTGTGGAATCTCATCCAAAAGCGAACCAGAGTAAGGATAAAGGCATTGACTTTCCCTTTTATACATCTTCAAATGCAGGCAAACAAAGAAACATGCTTCTACATACGTTAACATCATCACTACGTCACCTTAAGCGTCATAGAAATATCAAATTATATCTTCCTACATGCAAAGGGCATGTCTCAGTATTTTTATAAAGAGTAGCTTATATACATCAAGGGCCTACTTTTGACCCCTGGGAGAGAATCATAGAATCATAGAATCAAAGAGTTGGAAGAGACCTCATGGGCCGTCCAGTCCAACCCCATTCTGCCAAGAAGCAGGAATATTGCATTCAAATCACCCCTGACAAATGGCTATCCAGCCTCTGTTTAAAAGCTTCCAAAGAAGGAGCCTCCACCACACTCCGGGGCAGAGAGTTCCACTGCTGAATGGCTCTTACAGTCAGGAAGTTCTTCCTCATGTTCAGATGGAATCTCCTCTCTTGTAGTTTGAAGCCATTGTTCCATTGCGTCCTCATCTCCAAGGCAACAGAAAACAAGCTTGCTCCCTCCTCCCTGTGGCTTCCTCTCACATATTTATACATGGCTATCATATCTCCTCTCAGCCTTCTCTTCTTCAGGCTAAACATGCCCAGCTCTTTAAGCCGCTCCTCCGAGGGCTTGTTCTCCAGACCCTTGATCATTTTAGTCGCCCTCCTAGAATCATAGAATCAAAGAGTAGGAAGAGGCCTCATGGGCCATCCAGTCCAACCCCCTGCCAAGAAGCAGGAATTTTGCATTCAAATCACCCCTGACAGATGGCCATCCAGCCTCTGTTTAAAAGCTTCCAAAGAAGGAGCCTCCACCACACTCCGGGGCAGAGAGTTCCACTGCTGAATGGCTCTCACAGTCAGGAAGTTCTTCCTCGTGTTCCTCTGGACACCCTACTTATTACATCTATTTGTTTATACCAGGACTTTTTTATCTCCCCCCCACTAGAATGTTCACCCCCCTCTTACCTATGCCTTGGACACAGATCCTTCAGCATCCCTTTTGTCCTGTCAGCTTGGCTTCCTAATACAGAGAGAACCTGATTTTTCTTATTTCAGTACTTGTAATGTACATACAATAAATGTATACATATCTATATTTCCAGTATCTCCACATCAGCTGAACTTGTTGACTGAAAGGTTGGTGATTCGAATCTGGGGAGTGGGGTGAGCTCCCACTGTTTGAAAACATGTAAATCAACAGGTACCACTCTGGCAGAAAGGTAACTGTGCTCTATGCAGTCACGCTGGCCATATGACCTTGGAGGTGTCTACAGACAACGCCGGCTCTTCAGCTTAGAAACGGAGATGAGCACCATCCCCTAGAGTCGGACATGACTAGATTTGATGTCAGGGGAAACCTTGACCTTTTTAAGAATCAGTAAAATCCATTTCTCAAGCATCAAGGCAAGATTTGTAATTGCAAAAAGTAACATAAACCAGAGTGGTGTAGTGGTTGGAGTGATGAAGGACATCTTGGGAAATCCAGTTTCAAGTTATGAAGATAAGCTGGAGAGGAAGAACAAATGTATATCCTGTATTGTCGAAGGCTTTCATGGCTGGAATCACTGGGTTGTAGGTTTTTTGGGCTATATGGCCATGTTCTAGAAGCATTCTCTCCTGACATTTCGCCTGCATCTATGGCAAGCATCCTCAGAGGTTGTGAGGTCTCTGAGGTTGTGAAGACCTCACAACCTCTGAGGATGCTTGCCACAAATGCAGGTGAAATGTCAGGAGAGAATGCTTCTAAAACATGGCCATATAGCCCAAAAAAACTATAACAACCCAATGTATATCTTGTTATTTCTTCTGTGTTTTCAAGTCATTTTCAACTTATGACATTTGAAACTTGGTCTCTCAGAGTCCAAGTCCAACACTTCTACCACATCCCCACATTGGCCTATGCATGTAAACACATAGTCATAATTCAGAAGCTAAACAGGGCCAGCTTTAGAACAGCAGGTTAATCACCAGCTGCAGCTGCAGTAAATCTTGCCAACTGAAAGGTTAATTCAAAGCCAGGTCAGAGTGAGCTCCTGACCTTAAACCCAGCTTCCCACCCACCTAGCAGATTGAAAACAGCAATGTGAGTGCATTAATAGGAACTACATTAAGCGGGGAGGCATTTTAGGCACTGTGTTTCGGAGGAAAGTTTACAAACAAAGAAAGCTCTTCAGCAAAGAGAAGGAGTGACAGCACCCCCATGTGGCCGGAACTGAGCACAGCCTCCAAAGATGCCGAATGATGAGAAAAAGCCTATATATACTCCTATCTGTTGTCTGTCTTGTCACTGTATAATCAGCATTGAATGTTTGCCATAGATGTGTTCTGTGATCCGCCCTTTGGGGTGAGAGCAGCGTAATATATTTACTGTAAATAAATAAATAAACCAAGCAACAGCCATTGCGTAAAAGGGCCATAAGCATTCCTAAACATAGAGCACATCTTTGAAGCATCTGCTAAAGATGTGGAACTACCTCTAAAACAGTTCAGTCCTTGATGGCTGGCCATCTGGTATTTCTTCATGGCACGTCATTTAGGGTCAATGCATCCCCCAAGCTGTTATTTCTGATGAAGTCACTCTTCTAGGCAACATGCGCAGAATGGAACTGAACTCTTGCTTTGCAGCCCAGGAAGCTCTTGCATGCAATCTTAAGGGGAAAGCGCAGGACAAAAACGCATTAAAAGCTTATTGCTCTATTGTATGATTAATGGGTTGTAGAAGCCATTTCCTTGTTTTTATGGAAAGCATCTCCTTTATTTTACTGTCCTTCTCCGACAGCTAGTTGATGTTTCTCCATTTCTGGGAACGTGAGGCTTTTGACAAGAGCGTGCCTTTCATAAAGCAGCTGAAGACTTGAGCGGGCAGAGCAGCGATGAGTAATAACTTGTGGGAACAAGCTGAAGGGGGCTCGCTATCTCTGTAACAGAGCGAGCGTGCTTTGCATGCAAAAGGTCCCTGGCATTTCCCGTTAAAATGGGAACTAATGTCTGCAGGAGACACCATCAGTCAGCTCAGACAATAGTCGACTAGATTGGCATGGTCAGACATCTTACAACAGCACTAGCAAACAGAGCAGATTGTTGAGGAACCATAGGAGTTGCAATCCAGAAGCATCATGAGAGAGAGCCCTGTGGAACACATCTCATGCTAAAACAGTGGGTGTGGCTCTTAATGAGACATGCTGCATTATCACGGGGTGTCTGCACCCTACACCACTGGAGAAACTACACTGTCTAGCCGGTATCGCACCACCTGACATCCGCCGGGAAGTAGCAACCAATAGTGAAAGGACCAAGGCAGTAACATCTCCAGCCCATTCCTTGTTTGGGTATCAGCCAGCACGTCAATGACTTAAATCAAGAAATAGTTTTCTAAGATCTGCAGAGACACTCGCTGGAACACCCCAGCAAGTGAGAGTCCAAAAGTGGCAGGCTCAAACCCAGAACCTCAATCAATGGCTGATACCAAATGAGAGACTCCCTCCTGGGCACACAGAAAACTGGGCGACTTGGAAGGTGCTGAACAGACTGCGCTCTGGCACCACGAGATGCAGAGCCAATCTTAAGAAATGGGGCCACAAAGTGGAGTCCACGACATGTGAGTGTGGAGAAGAGCAAACCACAGACCACTTGCTGCAATGCAACCTGAGCCCTGCTACAGGCACAATGGAGGACCTCCTTGCAGCAACACCAGAAGCACTCCAAGTGGCCAGTTACTGGTCAAAGGACATTTAATAAAATGCCAAGTTTGCAAACTTTGTGTTTTGTCTGTTTGTTTGTTTGCTTTGTTAAAAATATAGTACAAATGTCTGGTTGCTCCTGACATGATAAATAAATAATGAGAGCCCTGTTGCTAACCTCTGAGCAAGGTGTCACCTGAGCAAGGCAACTTCCCTGCTCATTTAATCCTTTTCACCCTTTCAAAAAAATGCCTACATTCATTTACAGTGTTCCCTCGCTACTTCACGGTTCGCTTTCAGCAGACTCGCTGTTTCACGGGTTTTTGAAGATATTAATAAAAATATTTATGTCCAGTTGAGGCCAGGGACCCCAGAAGTGCGGCGGCCTGAGGCACGGCACCTCCCTGGCCTGCTGCTGCCTGTGTGGCTCCGGAGGCTCTGAGGAAGCCAGGGAAGCTGGCAGGAGCCTTTGGGGTGGGCCGGGAGGTGGGTAAGGAAGCGCGGGTAAGAAAATAACATATAAATATATATAAAATAATGTATAAATATTAAAATTAATATGGCATCCCTACTTTGCAGATTTTCACTTATCGCAGATGGTCCTGGAATGGAACCCCCGCAATAAGTGAGGGAACATTGTAGTTCAGATCTGCTTTTGCTGCTATCTGAACCTCAAAGTTTATTAATAATGTCCAATTTTAATTTTGGCTAATTTTAGATGTTTATCATTGCAGTTATTTGGGCAGAGAGAGGCTGTCTTAAAATGGCACATAAACAAAAAAGCAAGGGAGCTTGCTTCTCAAAAGGATGGGACCTTTGGGTTTATTGGCATTGCATTTCAGCTCTGGGTCGTATTGTCTTTCCAGGCCAACCCTTCAAGCTGGACCCCAAAATGGCTCACAAGAAACTAAAAATCTCCAATGATGGACTGCAAATGGAGAAAGATGAGAGCTCTCTGAAAAAGAGCCACACGCCGGAGAGGTTCAGTGGCACAGGGTGCTACGGTGCCGCGGGCAACGTCTTCATCGACAGCGGTTGCCATTACTGGGAGGTAACGCTGGGCTCCTCCACTTGGTAAGTACCTTTATTACTAGTGCTGCACAGAGCTTGGAAATGTTACAGTTTTCTTGATTACTATGCCCAGAATCCACCAGCAGTTCGGACACATCGCATAAGGAATTATGAGTGCTGTAGTTCAAGAGTACTGTTTTCCAAGCTGCGGTTCTGAGCTAATGCAGAGCTTTCAGACTATTTAGTTGCCATGGACAAACTTTGGGGCTCCAGATGTTTTGGACTTCAACTCCCACAATTCCCAACAGCCTCAGGCCCTTTCCTTTTCCCCCTCAGCCGCTTAAGCTGAGGCTGTTTGGAATTGTGGGAGTTGAAGTCCAAAACACTCAGAGGGCTGAAATTTGCCCATTCCTGTTATATAGTATTTGGCAGCAAAAAAAGTCCCTCTTTTGCACCACAACTATAACTCCTTGTGCCTCCTGGTTCATAAAAAGGAACTTTTCCAAACTCTGACGATTTAGTATTTGGCAGCAGAAAAGTCCCTGTTTTGCACCACAACTATAACTCCTTGTGCCTCCTGATTCATAAAAAGGAACTTTTCCAAACTCTGACTATATATTATTTGGCAGCAGAAAGGCTCCTCTTTTGCACCACAACGAGGACTCCTTGTGCCTTCGGGTTCAGAAAAAGGAACTTTCCCAAACTTCAATGATATTGTATTTGGCAGCAAAAAAGTCCCTCTTTTGTACCACAACTATAACTCCTTGTGCCTTTTGGTTCATAAAAAGGAACTTTTCCAAACTCTGGCTCACTTACCCTCTTGTCAGCCCTGTCCCCTTTGCACAACTTGTATGGGGCAGATCTAGGGATTGAGAACCTATTCAAAACATGATTGTAAAATGTGTGCCAGGAAACCCTAATGAGCACAGCCTTGAAATGATGAGAATCGGTGGCTCAGGATTTATTGTGCCTAAAATTCACATATGATTTTTTGCACAGAAAACCATTTTATATGCCCAAAACTGTATATATCATTGGTATTTTCTGTATTTTTTTAAAAAAAAACTTGTACAGAATAAGCCCTAAATTACAGCATCAGAACATTCTATTTTCTGTACAGAAATACCATATACGAATTTTGTGAAATCTTGAACAGCCTTTGAAAACGGTGCCATTTTCAAAGTGTCTTGCCGCAGGAAGAAAATGTTCTCATGGCATCCTTTGAGAATGAAATTAGCCAAGAATTACATCCCAGGGCAGTAGAGTCTTCCAGGTGCCACAGGCCAGAGCATCACGTAGCCCGCACAGAAGCTTTACAGATTGCCTTAAAAAGTCATTTTGCAGGGAGCTGTTTTTGTTTTTGTGCCTTTTCCTTTGCCAGCCATTTCTTGTTCGATCCCTTCTACTGGTGGGCTTCAATTCAAGATCCAGAGTGGCAGCAGGACTGGCACACACTTGTGTGTCATCTTCTAGGAACACAAGCAGCCAACCACTCAGTCAATGCTACATGGAGGATGGGCAGATATAATTGAGCCCGAGTCTGAATCAAAGCCAGCCTTGGGCCTGCATTACACCAAAATACATTGATCAAAGCACAGCGGGACTTGCAGCTTCTAGCCATTGCAACTGGAACACTGTCATCCCCTGCGGAGTCTCCCACTCAGTTTGCTTTTCTCTGAGCCTGCCTTTGTCTCCCTCTCCAAAAAGCACAGTTGTGTGTGTGTATTTGGGGCAGGATATTAAATAACTCCCAAGCCGGAGAGCCACTTCAAACTCAATGCAAGACTTGGTTTTTCAGCAGAATCCTGGCAAGGGTGAGAATGGGTTTTAGTTGCAACAGAACTACTTAGGATTGTCGTTCAGTTTATTACTTGATTTGATTTCATGTCTAGCCTGACCTTTATTGAGTCCCCAGAGCAGCATCCTAAAATTTGCAATAAACATTAAATACCACTATATATATTCAGCGATAGAAAATGAGTCAGCATTGAAGCGGCACCAAAAACAATGTGCAGGGGATTTTAAAGGCCTGGGAAAGGTCTTTGCTTGCCATTCAAATGCTATTAAATAAGCACCAGGCTGATTACGAAGAGCTTTCCACAATCTACTTCAATCCCATCGACAAGAGGGCACTAATATCTGTAGCCATCCACTGTCCTTCCAATGGCAGGGATACTTCCCAGCAATGAAGGAATCATTTTATTGTTATCTGTATTCCTTCCTTTAAGAATTCGGGATGGCATGCATAATGTCTAATGTCTGGCCAAAACTCACTCAGTGGATGTTGTGGTTGAATATTTTAACTCTGAGCTCCATGGAGGAAATGTTTGGGGAAAATGGCAATCATAAGCTTTTTGAAAAGGAAAAAAAATGATGTCATATCCATTTGGCAAATGTGAATCTCCATGAACATCTGGAGACCACCTTTTGAAAACCACTAGTCAAGGAAAGGCATGACTTTCAACCCTTTGAAAAAGTGATTCATGTAATGGCACATAGGTAACTCTGCTGTTAAACTGAAGAACCATGTATTTGAACTGCCAGGGACAAAGACATGCCACTGCATAAAAATATATTTGGCTAGCAGAGTTTTAAAATTGTTGCTTTGAAGTTGAAGTTGCAATTGCAGTTGCACAAAACATATACTTTCCCTCGAAACCTCTTAGTTTAAAATATGCAGTCAGAGATAAAAAATAAAAGTCTTCCTTGAAAAGTAACATATCTTGTTTACTCACAAACATCTTGTATTAATTCACCATACAGGCACATTTCTTATTAAAGTTCAGTTACAGATGGGATGTAGTTTTTCTGTGTTGAGAACACAGGGTATCATTCTTAATCAATAGTCCATAGTCCAAAGTCTTTAAGTATACATTTTATGGAAGTCCAAACTGTATGATATACTCACTGCTGACATCTGCTTCCATTGAAGTTAAAAAACATATTGATAACAAAATGGAGTCTTGAGTCTGAACATGCTCAGTACAATCACATGTCTGTAGTTCCGTGGTTGTCAGCCTTCCTGATGCCTAATGCTATTCAAGCTTGCTAATTGCAACATCCACACTTGCTTTAAATGAGTGTTTCCCAACCTTCCTAATGCCGCGACCCCTTAATACATTTCCTCATGTTGTGGTGACCCCAACCATAACATTATTTTTGTTGATACATCATAACTGTAATTTTGCTACTGTTATGAATCTTAAAGAAAATATCTCATATGCAGCATGCATTTTCATTCACTGGACCAAATTTGGCACAAATACCCACTATGCCCAAATCTGAATACAGGTGGGGTTGGGGGGGGGGGTGATTGATTTTGTCATTTGAGAGTTGTAGTTGCTGGGATTTATAGTTCACTTACACTCAAAGAGCATTCTGAACTCCACCAGAGATGGAATTAAACCCAACTTAGCACACAGAACTCCCATGATCAAGAGAAAATACTGGAAGGGTTTGGTGGGCATTGACCTTGAGTTTTGGAGTTGTAGTTCACCTACATCCAGAGAGCACTGTGGACTCAAACAATGATGGATCTGGACCAAACTTGCCACAATTTATTTATTTATTTATTTGCTTTATTTCTATACCGCATTTTTCAGCCCGGTTAGGCGACTCAATGCGGTTTACATAATACAGGTTATCACAACAATATCATAAGCGATTAAAACACATTATACATAACAGACAAAATCAAAAATAATCATTATCATACCGTAACACCTCAATAGCAAATCAGAATCCGTTCTCATAATCCTTGTACCATTGAACAGTGGCGGTGTTTGGGGAAAATAGACCTTGACATTAGTTGCTGGGATTTATAGTTCACCTATAGGGAGCCCCCGGTGGCGCAGTGGGTTAAACCCCTGTGCCGGCAGGACTGAAGACTGACAGGTCGCAGGGGAGAGGCAGATGAGCTCCCTCTATCAGCTCCAGCTCCTCATGCGGAGACATGACAGAAACCTCCTACAAGGATGATAAAAACATCAAATCATCCGGGCGTCCCTTGGGCAACATCCTTGTAGACAGCCAATTCTCTCACACCAGAAGTGACTTGCAGTTTCTCAAGTTGCTCCTGACACAACAAAACAAAAAAAGTTCACCTACAATCAAAGTGCATTCTGAACCCCACTAACGATAGAATTGGGCCAAACTTCCCACACAGAACCCCCATGACCAACAGAAAATACTGTGTTTTTTGATGGTCTTTGGCGACCCCCTGACCCTCAGGTTGAGAAATGTTGCTGTAGTTCCTCCCAAACTGGCAAATCAACATATACTTACAATACAAGTTAGCAAACATATACATTAACGAACAAATAGTGAAAGCTTGGAAGGTTGCTATTTCCAACAGGAATATCCAGCCTTTAACCCAGACTAGTGGCTCAAGATGAGTCCATTGATTCAGTCCAGTTTCCTGAAGATGACTCTCGTTTTTGTCTCCTTCTCCAGGTATGCTATTGGCATTGCCTACAAATCAGCCCCAAAGAATGAATGGATCGGCAAGAATTCCTCCTCCTGGGTCTTCTCTCGTTGCAACAACAACTTTGTCGTGCGGCACAACAACAAGGAGATGCTGGTGGACGTTCACCCGCAGATGAAGCGCCTGGGCATTCTCCTGGACTATGACAACAACGTCCTCTCCTTCTACGACCCGGCCAACTCCCTCCACCTCCACACCTTTGAGATTTCTTTCATCCTGCCCGTCTGCCCCACCTTCACCATTTGGAACAAATCTTTAATGATTGCTTCGGGTTTGCCCGCCCCGGACTTTATAGACTACCCTGAGACGCAAGAATGCAACTGCCGGCCGCCACAAGAGTCCCCCTATGTATCAGGAATGAAAACTCTTCATTGAGGGGCAAGGGAGCCCCTCTCCCCTTCCAGCCAAGCCTCAGGAACTTCTGCACAGCTAGACTGGAAGGTGACTTGCCACGTCCGGCTAGTTGGTTGTCCCAAGGAAAGCGCACCTTTGGTAGCACAGGCCGCCAGAGGAGTGTCTGCGTGTGTATGTCTGTCTGTCTGTCTGTGGAGAGGGGTTGTTTCACGGACTATTTTTTTTTTATTTTGATAGCACTACTGAATTTTCTCAGATGGAATGGGCACGTCCTGTCCATTTCCTGGTGGGGAAAGGGGCATCACGGCAGGGAGTTGGGGAGGTTGTTCCTTCGGAGGTTGATACAGTCGGAGTTTTCTACTATTTGGGAGGGAGAGAAGCAACTTGCGTGAGATGTTTGTGGACCCAATTACGGTTCCACCAGCCATTCGGAGTCAGGGCTGCCTGGAAGATACAGGACTGTCCCACATCATAGCAAATATCCATTTGCATGGGTCTTCGTTCTTTTGTTTTTAGTCCTCTACACATTTTCTCCATGTGCAGAGAAGTGGCGTATTTTGAAGTTCAGGCACAGACGACAAGAGTCCCGTAGACATCCCTCTCATCTCCTCAAAATGCAAACTTCCTGGTTGATTTGGCCATTTTTAATCTCACCACAAAAGAGATCTTGGTTGACAATTCAAGACGAAGCCATTTGAAAACACAAGAGGAGTTGTCGAAGGCTTTCATGGCTGGAATCACTGGGTTGTTGTAGGTTTTTCGGGTTATATGGCCATGTTCTAGAGGCATTCTCTCCTGACGTTTCGCCTGCATCTATGGCAAGCATCCTCAGAGGTAGTGAGGTCTTCACAACCTCAGAGGCCTCACAACCTCTGAGGATGCTTGCCACAGATGCAGGCGAAACGTCAGGAGAGAATGCCTCTAGAACATGGCCGTATAACCTGAAAAACCTACAACAATAACAGGAGTTGCTCATGAGATTACATTGTTATGAGGGGAATCCATTTCCCTATGCCGCTCTTGCTGCTGTTAGGACAGCGGATCATACAATTGTAGAGTTGGAAGAGATCTCACGGGCCAGCCAGTCCAACCCCATTTTGCCAAAAATCACATTTCTAGCACCCCCAACAGATGGCCTTCCAGCCTCTGTTTGAAAGCCTCCAAAGAAGGAGCCTCCACTACACTCCGAGGCAGAGAATTCCACTGCTGAACAGCTCTTTCTCACTGTTAGGAGGTTCTTCCTTATGTTCAGGTGGAATCTCCTTTCCTGTAGTTTGAAGCCATTGTTCTGTGAAAGGGACAGGAGGACCAGAGTAGGATGGCACATGATGATATTATTTTTTTGATAAAGATGCTCCATGCTTCAACTCTTTGCTACAACTTGGCAGAGAGGAGGATGGCATGACATGTCCCACAAGCATTGCATGCCCAACCAGCTCTGCCTCCTGCACATGCAATGCAATGTTTGCTAACTGGAGTTCACACATAATCAGCAGGAGGCACATTGTTTTGCTTTTGGATTCCAAAGATGGATAGCGTGGCCATCAAGTAACAGGAAAGCAATAGCTGCTGACCTATCAGAAAAGGTGTTCCAAATAATGCAAGGTCCTGAAGAGGCCAAGGAATTGTGGTAGGAATGTCGGGGAAACATTGGGGAGCAAACACATATAAGTATATCCCAGTCCTCCCATTGGCAGGGCTGCTGCAGTTGAAGCTGATGTGGTTCTAAAGTCAGCCCAGAGACAGTGTCCTGGCATCACCCCTCATGACCCAGGAGCCCCCAGTGGTGCAATGGAGGCAAGACTGCTGACCGAAAGGTTGACGGTTCAAATCTGGGGAGTTGAGTGAGCTCCCATGTGTCAGCTCCAGCTTTTCATACGGGGACATGAGAGAAACCTCCCATAGGATGGTAAAACATCCAGGTGTTCCCTGGGCATCATCCTTGCAAACAGCTAATTCTCTCACACCAGAAGCAACTTGCAGTTTCTCAAGTCACTCCTGACATGAAAAAAAACCCCTAATGACCCAACTGAGTTGTTTTGCACTGCCCTGCCTTTGCTTTGCTGTCCAAGCTGCACCAATTAGAGCTGTCAGCCCGGAGCCCTCTTGCTATCCCGTCCTCCTCCTTCCCTCACCTGTCACATCACGCCACCCGCACGGCTGCTCTGGGGCGGCCCTTGGCCTCCCTTTGGGGCTGTCAGTAGTGAAGGAGTTCATGAACCTCATAGAGGCGGGACGGGGAGGCAGCCAGTTTCAGCTCATGCAGAATGCAAAAGCAATGCTTCTCATCAGCTTGGAAAGGCCTTCGCTAAAAGCACCAGGGTGATAATATGATACTTCCTTGCAGGGGCAGAAAATCAGAAAAAGCCAAAGTCCTGCCCTAGCACAAGCTGTGTAACATAACAGTTTTAATAAAAATAGGTAAGAGGTTGCAGCTGCAAGTAAATGCTAGTTTCTCATCATGGCCTGTGTACCTATGTCTTTGGGAATGAAAAAAAAACATATTAGAAACACGCTAGTGAGAAGGAATTAATTCAGTATATGAGTCTATCACGGGCATAAACTAGACATAAAGACCTGTCTATCTTTTTAATCCAAACCATCTCAATCTGAGCAATCTGTGGGTTTATTCTGTAGGATTTAGGCCACTGCTGGGTTGTGGGGAGTTGTAGCCCCTCACATTTGGTGCCTCCAGGATGAGGAAGACTTCAAGAACCCTTGGAGCACAACTTTAATGTGATGTTTAATGTATTTCTGCAAGCCTAAAGTGTCTCTTCTACAGTAATGGAAAGGAAGATGTCGCATTTGGTATGGCTGGACTAGGGCCTGTGCGGGGGCGCCTCAAGAGCGGGATTTGTGCTATACGCAAATGCGTAACTTGCCTATTGCTTCAGCCGCCCCTGCTGGATGGCAATCCTTATCGTTGCGGTCCAACTAACAACAATGTCCATTTCCTTGGCTTTGGTGACTAGCACACAAGCCGCTCTTATGTACTGTACTTCCAACCAGGTGGAGGAAAGGATAGTAACAAGCTAAGTATCTATATTAAAATGCCACCCCGTGTAACTGTATCCATGTCCTCCTTTTGCTCCATCGTTCACAGATAGTGTAGCCTATGCTACATGGACCAAGTTGGCTCCATCTCTACCAATCTTAACAGGGAAATGCTCAGTGGAGAAACATCTCCCGGCATGAAGAGGTTCTGCATTTGAGACAGAAACTCTGGTGACTTGGCCATATGGTGCCAACCCCCCTGTGTTGAGCTTCCATGTGCCAAACAGAATGATGGGATGTCACTGCAGGGAAAGGACTTAACCCCCCAGGAGATCAAGCAATTTGTAGCACAGCCTTTAGTAAACAATTTAGCTGGCAGAAACAGAGTACTGTTAAATGGTGAGTGCTCCACGTTTCCTACAGCTATACCATACTATTTCCCTCCCTGTCTACTTTGCAGAGGTCGAAGAGGGGAAAGAACCTCAGTGGGAAGCCTTGTGGGTCACTCTTCCCACTGGAGAGGTGTCTTGGTTCTTCAGGACCCCCGCAAAGCCATGCCTGGCTGTTTGTATCATACTGATTGCATTTTATCTGATTTTGGGGATGTGGTGAGCTTTTCGTTTCCGTGAGACCCGTCAGCTTTCTTTTCCTATGTATCATAATCGGTTTTGCAACTTCTTTGTTAATGTGTATATATAAATATATAAATATATATACATAAAATATAATATATATGTATACATTCCAGATGTGTCTTGTGTGAAGTCGAGCCTCCTCTTAACTTTAGGGTTGGGTTTCGGACATGAACACACACCTCCCGAGACTACACAGTCATATGTGAAATTGTGATTATTTTGCCTTCTCCTGAATCATAGAATCATAGACTTGGAAGAGACCTCATGGGCCATCCAGTCCAACCCCCTGCCAAGAAACAGGAAAATTGCATTCAAATCACCCCTGACAGTTGACCATCCAGCCTCTGTTTAAAAGCTTCCAAAGAAGGAGCCTCCATCACACTCTGGGGCAGAGAGTTCCACTGCTGAACAGCTCTCACAGTCAGGAAGTTCTTCCTAATGTTCAGATGGAATCTCCTTTCTTGTAGTTTGAAGCCATTGTTCCACATCCTAGTCTCCAGAGCAGCAGAAAACAAACTTGCTCCCTCATCCCTGTGACTTCCTCTCATGTATTAATACGTGGCTATCATGTCTCCTCTCTGCCTTCTCTTCTTCAGGCTTAACATGCCCAGCTCTTTAAGCCGCTCCTCATAGGGCTTGTTCTCCAGACCCTTGGTCATTTTAGTCGCCCTTCTCTGGACACCTTCCAGTTTGTCAGTATCTCTCTTCAATTGTGGTGCCCAGAACTGGACACAATATTCCAGGTGTGAGCTGAACAAGGCAGAATAGAGGGGTAGCATTACTTCCCTGGATCTAGACACTATACTCCTATTGACACAGGCCAAAATCCCATTGGCTTATTTTGCCTGAAGCCCCTCCGCATTTCCTAAAGATGCAACATGATCGTAAATCCTGCATCTTTCCCCTTTCATCACCATTTCTGGGCATTCAAAGAAATGGGATGTGTCTGAATGCTGGAACACTCTAACAAACACCATGTCAGACTACACGGAGAAGCCATTGAAATCCACAAGCATGTGGACAATTTGAACAGTAAGAAAGAAACCATAAAAATAAATAAAATCTGGCTACCAGTTTTAAAAATTCTAAAATGAGGACAGTAAACAAAGAGCAACACTAAACAAACTGGGAATTCCCGACAGGAAACAATCAGGACCAGCTAACACCTCCCAATAAAGGATTCCCCAAGCAGGAAGCAGCCATGCTTTGAAACTGCAAGGTTATTCAGTGCTAATTAAGGTGGCCAATTGCAACATTCACACTTGCCGCCAACAAACAAGAGTTCTTTCTCCCAACCTGGACACTCCACAGATATATACACCTCGCTTTCCTATATATTGTAGAAGAAGAAGAAGATGATGATGATGAAGAAGAAGAAGAGGAGGAGGAGGAGGAGGAGGAGGAGGAAGGAAAGGAGGAGGAAGGAAAGGAGGAACAACAACAACAACAACTTTATTTTTCTACCCCACCTCCATCTCTCCAAAGGCACTCAGGGCAGCTTACATGGGGCCAAGCCTAAGGCAACATACAATTAAAAACAGAAAAATAACGTATTAAGATAGCATAAAAACAGCACAAACAATAATAAACAAGCATCAAAAGCAACAACAGACTCATTTTTGGAGGGGAGGGAGGGGGCCAATATTTGAAACTAGTTATAGGATAGGGGGGTCAATAAGGTGGATAGAAACGTATAGCGGCATAGGAATGATAGCCTAGAAATAGAGCAATTAAACAGGATCAGTGCAGCTTAACTTTAAAATGTAGTAATGAAATACAGGAATTTGGATTCAAGTCGTTCATGTCATGATTCAGATCACTGAAGGCTTTCATGGCTGGAATCACTGGGTTGTTGTAGGTTTTTTGGGCTATATGGCCCTGTTCTAGAAGCATTCTCTCCTGACGTTTCGCCTGCATCTATGGCAAGCATCCTCAGAGGTAGTGAGGTCTTCACAACCTCAGAGACCTCACAATCTCTGAGGATGCTTGCCATAGATGCAGGCAAAATGTCAGGAGAGAATGCTTCTAGAACATGGCCATATAGTCCAAAAAACCTACAACAACCTACTCATTTTCCTAGTTTCTAACAGACCCCTCAACCTCTGAGGATGCCTGCCATAGATGTGGGTGAACATGTCAGGAGAGAATGCTTCTAGAAGATGGCCATATAGCCTGAAAAACCTACAACAACCAACTCACTTTCCTAGTTTCCAACAGACCCCTCAACCTCTGAGGATGCTTGCCATAGATGCAGGTGAAATGTCAGGAGAGAATGCTTCTAGAACATGGCCATATAGCCCAAAAAACCTACAACAACCCACTCACTTTCCTAGTTTCCAACAGACCCCTCAACCTCTGAGGATGCTTGCCATAGATGTGGGTGAAACATCAGAAGAGAATGCTTCTTGAACATGGTCATAGAGCCTGGAAAACTCACAACAACCCAGTGATTCCAGCCATGAAAGCCTTCTACAACACATCCTGATACAACTGAAGTGCAAGTTCAGAAATCCCAAAAAAGCATCACCTTTTGGTTGTCTTATAGAGTCCTGATCCTTCCTGTAACTCAGTGATTTGCCAATCAGGCCTGACCATTTGGGAAATCAGGTCGCCCCCTCAGCCCAGTCTGACCCAGTCTTGTAGGATGGCATTCCCAAACACCCCACCATCCCTTGGACCTTGGCCATGCAAGCAGCAAAGGCTTTCTCCTCCCTCCGTAATGCGACTTTGGCTGGCGGAGGAGGAAGCATGGTGCCTGTGCCATCGTGGGAAAATGAGATGCTCTGATGCAGCTTGCGCCTGTCTGAACATAAGTTTGTAAAATATTTATAAGGCGGAGAACATATGGTGCCAACCAACACTGTAAAATTAAACATTTCTCTCTATTCCTTCGCTCAGGGCTTTCTCCCATAAAACATTCATCTGAGAGATGGGGTTAAGGATTGTATAGCAGCTGCTCTTCTTGGAATGCAGCCACCCTCTTTTCAAAAGCCGCTTGCGAGAAAGGAGTTCAGAACAAGAGCAAAGATGGACCCGACCCATGCATTTGGGATGGGGGGTTGCAAGGCAAAAGGAGAGGTGCCAGTCTTTCTTGGTGGGACAGACACAGAGAAGGGAGTGTGGAGGACAAGCAGGAAAAACGGAGGCATTTCGTGAGGACATCAGAAGAGGCTTCAGGATCAGGCCAAAGGCTCTCCTACTTCAGCATTCTGTCCAGATGTGGAACGTGGGCAAAATGGCACTTTCTGGCTTACGTTTCCTCAGAAATCATATCCAGCACAAACATATGATGGTTGAATGAAAAGTAATTCCTCCACCTTCATAGCTCCTCAACAGATGGCAGTACTGATATGCGGCAGGTACTGGCTTGTTCAGTAGACTCTCCTCTACAGTTCCATTTTGGTGGGAGGTCTTAGCATTGAATGGTTGTGTTGTTAAAGTGCAAAGTATGGAACCCTGCACAGATGGTCAGTCAATGCGACTTAAGCAATGTGCAATCATTGAATTCTTGACAGCAGAAGGTGTCACCCCAAAGGAAATTTGTCAGAGAATGCAAGCTGTTTATGGTGATTGTGTTGATGTGAGATTGTGCATCATTGGGTGAGTAAGTTTAAAAATGTTCAGGTGGGAATATCTGACTTGTGTTAACAAACAAAGAGTTGGACGTCTTGTGACAGCAACCACCGAGTTTCACAAGCAAAAGGTTGACAGATTGATTCAGGACGATGGTCGTATCACGCTGAGAGAAATTTCAAGCCAAATCAGCATTTCATAAGAACGTGTGGGTCACATTATTGCTTTGCTTGGCTATCGGAAGATCTGTGCATGATGGGTTGCAAAAACACAGTGTCGACTTCTTCCATGACGGCTTCGGAAAACTTGTTCATCATTGGCAGAAATGTACCTAATTGTCTGGTGATTATATGGGGAAGTGAATAGTGGAAGTTAAAGAGCACATTCTAAAGATTATTTCTGCATTTGATTTATTAAAATATTTTCATCCAAACCCAAGTAATGAAGGTGGAGGCATTACTTTTCATTCAACCCTCATAGAGTCTCTGAATCTGGGGTTTATTGATTTTTTTTCCTGATGGATGGGGTCTCCGGTGGCATAGTGAGTTGAACTGCTGAGCTGCTGAGCTTGCTGACTGAAAGGTCGCAGGTTCGAATTTGGAGAGCAGTGTGAGCTCCTGCTGTTAGCCCCAGCTTCTGCCAACCTAGCAGTTCGAAAACATGCAAATGTGAGTAGATCAACAGGTACCACTCTGGCGGGAAGGTAATGGCGCTCCATGCAGTCATGCTGGCCACATGACCTTGAGGGTGTCTATGGACAATGCCGGCTTAGAAATGGAGATGAGCACCAACCCCCAGATTTGGATACAACTGGACGTAATGTCAGGGGAAACCTTTACCTTCACCTATCCCTAATGGATAGACATTGCTGTCCGATTCCCTATGATCGTGTTTTTATTCCCTGCCACTTACAGCTTTTCAAGCTGGCAGGCAACACTCTTCGATGTGCAGCAATGTCCGTCAACTTGAGTTCAGCTCTGTGTTGTGTGAAATATTTCCACCCATCTGTCCTGAGTCTCCTACTTTTCAACATTAGTGGGTCCTAAGATCATGAGCAATGGAAGAAAATGTCTCCCTATCCACTCTGAACTAAATTTTCTCATTTGTTCTGAAGGACGCATGAGAAAGAATTTGGGGGATCTGAATATGTGGTTGAAAACTAAGAAGGAATGTATTGATCACTGGCTGGAAAGAGAGGAGAGGGCAAAGTAAAGACGGGTTTCACCACAAAAGGTCATAGGAAAAACCCAACCTTTAAACTTTACTTACTTACATAATTAGGCAATCCGTCGCTGTCCGAGTATGAAGGCCCTCCAGTGTAGTGAAAAATTGGGGTGACTGACTTTCCCTGCCAAATCAAGACAATGTGTTGTCGAAGGCTTTCATGGCTAGAAACAATGGGTTGCTGTGAGTTTTCCAGGAGATATGGCCATGTTCTAGAAGCACTCTCTCCTGACCCACATCTATGACAGGCACCCTCAGAGGTTGTGAGGTCTGTTGGAAACTAGGCAAGTGAGGTTTATGTATCTGTATCCAG